TAATATAAAGTTTAAACAGTTTTATATATGCAGAATTCAATTCGGAAATAACCGACATAAGAATAAGAATAAGAATAATTTATTTGCTCGAAATGTGGTACAAAGGTCTTAAAATGGTAACTGAACTACACATTTCGCCTTATCTAAAGGCATGCAAATTTTGTCTTAGCACATGTTAAGTAAAAGTTTATCAATTATGTATGTCCAAATAATTATTCTAAATACATATTAATTGTTACATTGAATTAGTTAATTATGTCAACATTTAAAAATAGTCGATATTATAGTTATAAAGCATTAAAATTGTACATGTAATATTATTAATATTATTACGTAAAATGCATTCTTAGTCTAATCTGCCATTCAGACTTACAAATTCTTTTATCGTGTAAAAACACTTTTCATTAAGCCAATTTCGTAGTTTTCTTCGGAAAATTTCAAAGGGCATTTCACGAAATGACTGGGGTATCTTATTGTAAATATTTATGCACATCACAAAACAATTTTTATGATAAAGGCTACTCTTACATATAGGCATGTGTAGTTTGGTAGGGTCCCTTTTGATAAATTTATTAATTTCACAAATTTTATTAAATAACTGTGGGTGTTTTTTAACAAAGATTCCAATTTCTAAGATATATAAACTCGTAACTGTTAATATTTTTATATCTTTAAAATAGTTTCTACATGATTCCATAGGCGCTAATCCACAGATAGCTCTAACGCATTTCTTTTGTGAAATGAATACTTTGTTAATCAATGTTGCTTTACCCCAAAGTAAGATTCCATATCGCAATATAGATCCAACGTAGCCATGATACGCGGTAAGAGCTGCATTTTTACTGGCTGTATTGCGTAGACGTCTGAGTGCATATACAAATTTATTAATTTTAGTACATAACACATTTATATGGATCTTCCAATTACAATTTTCATCTAACGTAATACCTAGAAATTTTACTACATTATCTTTGGAAATTAATTTGTTTCGATATTTTACTGTTAGGTTCTTATTTGTGGAATTGTAATTAGAAAATTGGACATATTTTGTTTTCTCTGTATTTATACATAGTTGATTTCTATCAAGCCAGTCCGCAATCTGCGTAAGTGTTATATTGATCCTATCATTATAATTAATAGCTGGATCATTATGTGGTACTATTATCGAGACGTCATCCGCAAATAATATACATTGTTCTTGAGTTGTATCAGGTAGGTCATTTACACTTATTAAGAACAGAAGAGGCCCTAAAACGCTTCCCTGAGGGACACCTGTTTTGTTACAAAGGAAAGTGGATCTATATGCTGAGGAATTTAAATTCTTATCAATGCGATTAATTTCTACACACTGATATCGGTCACGTAGATAGCTCTCTACCCATTTTAAGGCTAACCCCCTGATACCAAATAATTCACATTTGTCCTTTAGTACGTCATGATTAATTACATCAAAGGCTTTGCTCATGTCTAAGAAAATAGCTGTAACTGGTGTTTTTTTATCTATACAATCTGTGACGGAACTAACTAAAGTGAAAGCTGCCAATGTTGTGGATTTATTTTTCTGAAATCCGTTTTGTGATTGTTTAATCACATCGAATCGGTTAAAAAAATTCGTGAGGCGTTTATGCATGGCTTTTTCAAATACTTTGGACAAGTTTGAGTTTAATGCTATAGGTCGGTAGTTGCCTAGTTCAAGTTTGCTATCTTTTTTATGTAAGGGCTTTATTATAGCTGTTTTTAATCTCTCTGGGAATACACCCTGAGTAAAAGAATTGTTAATAATGTGGGTTAATACAGGTGCAATAATATCTGCACAGGATTTTAAGATAGTGGTTGATATCTCATCAAATCCTATGGACTTTGTATTTTTTAGTGAAGATATGTGTTTAATAGTTTCATTACTACTACAAGGTTCCAGGAATATAGTTTTATCCAATTGGTTTGTGGCGTTTTTATTACTGCGATGTAAGTGAGAATTTTTGGAATTATCAACCACAGAATTAAAAAAATTATTGAAAATATTAGCTATCTTTATTGGGTCTTTTTCTATTTTGCCATGGTTTTGTACAGCTTCAATTTCCTGGTAACCTTTTCCTGTATCGTTTTTGTCTTTAATAATGTCCCAAGATGCCTTACATTTATTTTTGGAGTTACTTATGTAGTGATTGTTAACATGTCTTTTTGAGGTATTTATGCATTTTTTTAATATTTTATCGTAAGTTATAAAGTTTATTTTATTTTTAATAGATTTTTTTTTATATGCCATGTATCTTAGTTTCCTTTTTTGTATACAAGATACTTTAATTCCCTTAGTAAACCATTTTGGACATGATGTGTTAGCATTAACTTTTATGCGTACTGTAGGAAAGCACAAGTCATAAAACATAACAAAAATGTCATGAAATCTATTAAATGACTTATTTGTATCCTTTTCACTAAAGACTTCATACCACGAAAGACTTGACATACATTGTTGAAACTTGGATATATTAATCTTAGAGTAGTCTCTTTTTTTAATATACCAGTAATCAATTTTTTTTATTTTTTTTCCTGAAAATGTTAATGTCTTTCCTGTGTCATGATCAGATAGCTCCAGTTTATGTACATTGCCTACTGCGTTCTTTATATTACTAAAAATATTGTCGATACATGTATTTTTTCGAGTTGGTTCTTTGATATGAAGCTTAATATTATGATTAAGAAGTATGTCATTTAGTCTCGATGTCGAATTGTTATCTTTTAAAATGTCAATGTTTATATCCCCGGCAATTATTATGTGTTTACTTTTCTTGGTCAGTTTGTGTAGAAGCAATTCAAATTTGTCCAAAAAAATTGATACATTGGAGTTCGGTATTCTATATAAACAGATTATGATGGAGTCCAAAAGAGGAATATTGATACCACAACACTCAAAAGTCTTTTCCTCAGAAAATTCATCACATAAATTTATAGTTTTACACCGTATTGTACTTCGTAACAAGATACATACACCACCACGTTTCTCAGCTTTCCTAGAAAATGAACTCACAACATTAAAGTTTTTGATTTTTATATTAATTTCATCCCCTGCTTTTACGAATGTTTCTGAAAGGCATATAATATCGATGCATGATTTATTTTGCGCTAACTCATTTAAACTCAATTCTAAGTAGCTACTCTTATTAATTAATCCAGCAATGTTTTGGTGTAGTAAGTTTATTTCACAATAATCATAACTATTATTATTGTCGAAAAAAGGGGGTAGTTGGATGACAGATGTCATTAACACAGCGGTTATCTATCGTGTCATGGCCAGATGGTCTTTTTGGGATTTTAGAGAAATAATAAGGAATGGTCCCCTTTACTGGTGGCAATGAATTTATTGTTTGTGATATGTTGTGAGATGTGGGTGTATAGCTGTTCTTTCTTAGATTATCCCGTCGGAAATTATAAGGTATTGTACTCTTTTTTTCTATGTTTCTTTGTATACATCGTTTAGAAATAATTCGTTTTTTACAAGTTATGAATTCCCTGTCATAGTCATTACAGTCAATTGTAAAATTTATTCTTTGACATATTATAGATAGATAATTGATATTAGAATAACAATTTGTTAAGTCAATAAAAGTACAATTATTAAAGTATCGACTAGTATTTTTAAACATATAATTCATTCGACGTTCGTCAAGATATTTATTATACTTAACACTTAATATTAAAATATTTACGTTTTTGAATTTACTTAATGTTGATATTAATTCTATTTGCAACTTCATAGGGTCGCTATCATTTTCACCAAGGCCAAGGATAAGATAGTTATCTGAGGAATCTATGATGGTATTACAATCTTGGAGTATTCTTTCTGAATATGCAAGAGGTTGTGTCACTGAAGTTATTTTGTATTTCTTATATTGAGTATTTCGTCTAGAATAAATTAAACGTGAAGCTAGATTAATACATTGTTGTGCTCCAAATATACGAGTAAATATCTGTTTATTATTTTGATTGCAAGCGCCCTCATCCAGTGGAATAGTAAACTTAGTTTTATTTTCATTAGGCATTGCCAATGGTTTTTTATGACATATCTGTTGAGTAGTAGACATATGGGTCATAGATAAGACAGAGTTTTGTGTTTTGAGTTTTGTTTTGTTTATAAGTTCTTGATTTATTTCTGTTTGTTCAGTTTTTCCAAGATCCAAATTGATTTGTGTATTAATACACCTTTTTATTTTTGGTGTCATATTAATTTTTTGAGATACTGATGGAGACTTCGTATATATATTTTTTAAATTAATTATAGTATTCTTCTGTTCTTCAGTGACTTTTCGTAGACGATTATTTTCTAATATTAAGTTGTCAATTTCATTGTGATTGTCATAGCCGGATAAGCAAGCTGAAGTGACAATGGGCCGGTCACATAGCTCAAAGAACCGACAACCGATGGGGAAGAAAGGCTCTTGAGTGGCCACCGCGTACGGATTAACGCAGTGTAGGACAACCCTCCACTAGATGGAGTGACGACCTGAAATGCATTGCAGGGAGTCAGTAGATGCAGGTGGCTCAGGACCGTTCTTTATGGCGATCTATGGGGGAGGCTTATGTCCAGCAGTGGACGGATAATGGCTGATATGATGCAGAATTAAACGTCGGGATCTTAGGGTACTAGGAATGAAGACTCTTCTTCTTTCTTCTATTTATGACAGAGTTATTGTCACATTTGACAAAATTGTGTTAATGGTAGATTTATACCTAAGAACAATTAGGGTTTTACGACCAAGAAAAAAAAGTGACATAACTTGACAAATTCGACTTTTACGAACTAGTCAAAAGGCAGATGTGTTTACGTCTATCCCTGTTGTATACGTCTATCCCTCTCTAACGCATTGGCAATGTCATAAATACAACGAGCAGCACACTATGTGAATTATGCATTCCATCTATTCTATTCCGAAATCTTTGATAAAGACTCTACTTCTTTCTTCTGTCTATGACAGAGCTATTGTCACATTTGTCAAAATATACTTCTGTCAAGCGAATGATTATGGATTTAAAACGATTATTTATTAAATTATTAATAGTGATTTTATAATGTAATTCATAAATTTATTACCTTGTTTAATAATATTGTATTTTGTTTAAACATCAAAGTGGTATGGTAAGATTTTTTTTTTGTTTAATTTATAAAAGCAAACAAGCTGACGGCCCGCCTTATGAGAAATGGTAGCCGTTACTAATAATAAATAATACTGAAATGATTAAAACTGATAAAACTGAAAAATTATGTGTATTTATATATGTGTTAATATGTATATATATGTGTATGTGTGTGTAGGTGTATATATATATATATATATATATATATATAATAATGAATAGGGATAATATTTATATTATTACATGTATCACATCTCCCATATTTAGAATTAACAAAATTTTTCATCGTGCCTCCCACCAAACTGTTTATAATTACTCCACTCCATCCAAAGGTTGCCTGCAAGAGATCGCTCTTAGCGATAAGGCCGCCCATTGTTTTCTCATTGTGATTATTTCTTGTAATTATTTATATTTATAATAAGTTTACTATTGTAATCTTTTGGAGGAAACAATAAAGAGTATCTATCTATCTATCTGAACATTGTGATGAACAAGCTCACATTTTCATTGTTTCATTCACTCATATCTGTCTTTAACTGTCCACTGCTGAACATAAGCCTCCCCCTTGGGGGGTTTTGCCAGTAGTTGCCACGCTTGGCAGGCGGATTGACAACTGCAGTTAGGCTTTGGAAACGTTTTAAGAGGGACGCTGCTGCCCGTCCCTCGCCGTCCCTCAGTCGCCTCTTACGACACCCACGGGAATGGAAGCGGTGGCCTACTCTATGCCGGGACCATACTAAACTCCCCATTAATAACAAACCCTTCCCAAATGGAACCAAAGGTTAATGAGTAGTTAAATGGATGAGTTATCTACAGATCAGTTGGCTCATCGTGTATTAAATTCAACAAGAATTAATCACTATAGATTCCAGGGGCAACCGCGTGGAGGTCGACCTGTTAGCAATGGAGCTGTTAGACTCCATTACCAACGATCACTCCTCTTACTCCAAATAGAGTTTCTATTCTAGTTAATTTTTTGTACAGAACCCTCAGTGTCTGAATTCAATTCACACTTGACTTATTCTTTCACCAGAGGGAGACTTAGTACAAAACTCGATTGCTTGGGTACCTCGGTCCCATTCGTGTTTCTACCGTGAAGCAGTTGTGTTCGCATGTCTGTGTTTCGGTTTGAACGGTGGGATATGGCAGTGAATTTACTGGGTACAGAGGAATAACACCTGAGTCTTCAGGAATGGCAACGCATGGGCGGTATCATGGGCGAAACAGTATACTCTGTTTGTCCATGGTTCCGCTCATGTGTATAGGCGACGGTTACCACTTTCCAACGGGTGGGCCGTCAGCTTGTTTGCCATTCTAAGTTGTATAAAAAAACAATTATTTTTATACATAGGCAGGGCAAGGCCCACAGCAGCCATACCACGGACCTGGCGGCGCCCCTACCAGCTTTTCCCCTAACTTCCAATACTCCCAGACCCCTCATGGGGGCTATCCCCCACCAGGGGCGGACGGTGTACCCCAGGGGCAATATGCAAATGTGACACCACCTTATGGCCAGGGTTACAATGAGGTAAATATCTTATACAGTGGTACCTCGATATACGAGTGCCCTAATATACGTGTGTAGGGGGAAAGGGATTGTTAGTAATGGAGACTGAGAATCCCATTGCTAGCAATATACCCAACCGGGTCGACCGCCTCGCGGTTCCCCCTGGAAACTATCATGGTTAATTCCTGATGAATTCATCATGATGGGCTAACTGGCCTGTTTTCATTCTCATCTATCACCCTTCACTGGTGCTCCGCCAGCGTATCCCGTCAGCGCAGGCGGGGGTTACTATACCATTTTCACCCATCAAAAAAATATGTGTGTTTTGAGACACGAGCCGCCGAGCGAGCGATATTTTGTTTCGAGATGAGAGCAAGATTTGAGATGCGAGGGATCGCACACTACACCGCTGCACACGAGCCCAACTTGCGGGCTGGACGTTGGTGTCTAACAGTTTCTCCCACCTCTGGCTAACACTTAACAAAAACAACTAAGGTGGTTTTATGGGAGTACGGATTAATGGTATTTCGATTAATTTCAACGGGGAAAATTGCTTTGAGATGCGAGCAATCTGACATTCGAGCGAAGTTACGTAACGAATTAAACTCTTATGTCGAGGTACCACTGTATTACTAAAATACAATAATTAGACTTTATTTGTACACACGTGCACGGTGTTAGTGGACCATGCACGTGCTTTGAACGACCATGTAATTTTAGACATAGTACATTTAAATAAATACACATAACACCAGAGGAAGACTTTATACAAAAGTCGTTTGCTTGGCCACCTCTGACCCATTCGTGTTTCTACCGTGAAACAGTTGTGTTTGCATGGCTGTGTTTCGGTTTGAAGGGTGAGATATGGCAGTGAATTTACAGGGTACAGAGGAATAACACCTGAGTCCTCAGGAATGGCAACGCGTGGGGGGTGTCATGGGCGAAACAGTATACTCTGTTATGTCCACGGTACTGACCATGTCTATAGGCGACGGTTACCACTTTCTATTAGGTGGGCCTTGGCTTGTTAGCCACTTTAAGTTGCAAATTATTAACATATTTCAAATTTGTTAATTTCCACAAAGTCTGTTGTGTTTCCGGATTACCAACAGGGGTACCAGCCTTATCCACAGCAAGGGTACCCACCGCAGGGGTATCCGCCGCAGGGGTATCCGCCGCAGGGGTACTACCAACAAGGGTACCCACCACAAGGGTACGCGCCGCAACAGAACTCGCCACGAGGGTTCCCGCAACAACTACAACAAGGTATAAAACATGGCATAGTTACATAAACATACATATACGTGTATATACAAGAAAAAAAAAACGTTTTTTCTTGTATAAAAAAAACTGGTTTTGTCAGAATTCCAGTCGTGTCTATGTGGGACACAATTTTTAAACACCTTCTTGTTTATTTTTTTGTTTATTGTCAAATATTTTTTTTATATTTAAATGTAAAATTAATCACTAAATAATTGTAAGTATTAAATATTTATTTATTCATTTATTCATAATTTTTTTTTTATTTACATTACTTACAGCACACAAATTACAATAAAAAAAAAACATACACGTAATACGCAGCAAAAGAGACAAAAGAATAAAAATAAAAAAAGCACAAATAAAAAAAATACAAAAACAAAATACATAATCTAACAATCTCCTTTGTTACCATTCCTTCATGCGTGTGCCACAAAATGGTCACATCTCAGTTTATTGCTTTGCCCTCAAAAGAGCAAAACACTGATATTCTGCTGTGGCCAATTAATTATACCATTATAACAGCAAAAGCCCAATCAATGTTATAAATCTAGTGTGCCAACATACAAAGTTATAAGAAATGTATTTAACCCCGACTCGAGATATGTGTGAGCCGCTTCCAATATCTCTGGCAGGCTGCTACTAAATATATCAGTGATGTTTATAATATTACCGTACTGAGTTAAGAGAGCGTGATGAAGTAGGTTAGTTCTTACTATAAGAATAGAATAGAATAGAATAGAATAGAATATCTTTATTTCCTTTAACAAAATTAGCCTATGGTACAATATAGCTATGAGCCCACACTAGGCAAAGCCTGTCTCGTGGAAGTCAAAGCGAGTAATTTTACAGTTATGGTGCGGCGAACAGGGATAATCTAATTATATAATGTTTCATGTGAGTTTGGGTATTTGTGTGTGTGTGTGTGTGTGTGTGTGTGTGTGTGTGATTGCGCGCGCGTGTGCGTGTGCGCGTGCGCGTGCGAGTGCGCGTGCGCGTGCGCGTGCGCGTGCGCGTGTGCGTGTGCGTGTGCGTGTGTGTGTGTGTGTGATATTTAATTGTTTATATTTATAATAAGTTTACTATTGTAATCTTATGGAGGGAACAATAAAGAGTACCTATCTATCTATCTATTTATATAAATAAATATTTATTTCTCTCTTTCTTGTTATGTTACCATTCGCATGCTAACAGGAGCGCAGCCAGGCTTATGCACTATGGCGGGCTTCCTGGCGTGCATGACCTGTCTCATGTGTTCGTGCTGCCAAGCCCTCGGCATGGCCATGGGCTCCCATGGAGGCGAGCAGTTTCCTGGACAAAATCCTGGGCAATATCCCCAGCAAAATCCTGACCCCTCAGGCACGATAATTTTTCATCAAAATATATTTATTTATGTAGGGAACCACAAGCTTTTACTCGCGACTTTGCGTGACCGAGATATGGTTACTGTACCAAGATAGATAGTAAGGCTTCTCTCTCCCATATGTATATCAAATCTTATAGTGATTGTTTTATACGTTGAGGTTGTTAGGATTGGGTATTATCAGTCTCATTACTAGCAATATACCCTGTCAGGTCGACCACCACCTGGTCCCCCCTGGAGGACCAACGTGCTAACTTCCAGGTGTATTCATCACGATGGGCTAACTGACCTGTTCCCCCCTGGAGGACCAACGTGCTAACTTCCAGGTGTATTCATCACGATGGGCTAACTGACCTGCCTTTTCATTCTCACCTGTAATCTCTCACTGTTGCCCCATTAGCGTATACCGTTAGTGCAGGTGGGGTTTCCATTCCATTATCGTCCATTAAAAAAAAACCTGAAGGCGCTATAAGGTAACAAACACACTTTCATATATATATATATATATATATATATATATATATAATATAAACGAAAATATACAATGACAAGTGAATAATTCAAGTGAAATACAGTAACATAAATACAGATTGAAATATACACATGAAGGTACAAAAGGCGGTGTTATCGCTAGGGCGATCTCTTACAGACAACCTTTGGTTAAAGGAGAACAGATAGAAGTGGGCAGGTGGCGCAAGATGGGAAAAAATATTTTTTATTAGTAATTAATAATTATTAGTAAGGATTTTAAGTGGTTATTCGTTTAGAATTATCTCGTTTAATTCCGCCACCATTAGTATGCGTGCGACTGCCAACACTCGAAGACCGACCACCGCTATTTAATCGAGTAATTCAAAACTCAACAATCTTCGATAAATCGCTTCTAAATACTAATCGCTTAAAGTTTTCTTTTTCTTTTTGTGTAGTTGGCGAGGCTGTTGCAGTAGAACCTCCTAGCTTTAATGAAGATTAGAAGAAGGAAGATGACATCTGAAGGTGTCTAGGCGAAAATAAATATTTACTTGCTTGGGTACCTCTGTGCCAGTCGTGTTCCCGCCGTGAAGCGGCTACGTGTGCTCGCATGACTGTGTTTCAGTTTTAAGGGTGGGATATGACATTGACATTGCAAAGGTTACGATATGTATATATATATATATATATATATATATATATATATATATATATATATATATATATATATATATATATATATATGAGCTAACTAACCTGCCTTTTCATCCTCGCCTATCATGTTTCCCTGGTACCCCGCCAGCGTATACCGATAGCGCAGGCGGGGCTACCATTCCATTGTCATCCATTAAAAAAAAAGTACACGGTACGGAGACATGACATAATAGTCCTCAGGAATAGCAAAGCATGAAAGGTTCCATGGGCGTCACAGTGTATTCTGTAACGGCCAACGTATTGTACATGTCTATAGGCGACGGTTTTTTTTTATGTGTGAAAGCACCAGTGAAGGGTGATAGATGAGAATGAAAACAGGCCAGTTAGCCCATCATGATGAATTCATCAGGAATTAACCATGATAGTTTCCAGGGGGAACCGCGAGGAGGTCGACCTGATTGGGTATATTGCTAGCAATGAGATTCTCAGTCTCCATTACTAACAATCCTTTTCCCCCCTATAGGCGACGGTTACCACTTTTGACGTAGTAGCGTGCGGCGTAGTTCATGTCTTTAGGCAATAGTTAACACTGTCTATCAGTCGGGCGGTGAGCTTGTTTTTAATTCTCGTTACATTTAAATACAGTCCTGTTTATATTTAATATGTTTTTATAATTCACTTTGATGTGTATACAAGTGTTGTTTATAAATAAATTACTCTATATATTATATTAATTTATTTTTATTTTTTTTATTAAATTTTACGTCCACCAGAGGAATTAGAATTCGTCTATTTGGATGTAGGATTGTTTGTAGCGTTCATCTTTATAATATGTTTAATTAATAATTAAAATACATGAATTAATTTATAATAAAACAAATACGTTTTAAAATTGTCCAAGTCAACAAACACTCTCTCTGGTCGCTGGCCCGTGCGCGGTATTTTTTTCTCTGCGCGCGCAGGCAACAATCACAAAGCGCCTGCGCGACCTGCGCGCGCATCTTGCGAGTGAGTCCCGTGACCAAGCGCCATGTTATAAATATGTATATAACAAAATGTTTGCTTCACTGCTTGTTTTTAAGATTCAATTATATTATAAAAGTTGATATATATTATATTATTTATGCATCATTTATGTAGGTATGTATCTATATAATACAATTTTACCTTTGGCTGTTAAATTAACACAGGTTACACTCTGGGTTTGTTGCACGCGTCCGTGTAGCCTGAATTCAGGCTGTAGCTGAATATCAGTGCTTTGCTTTTAAGCAAAACTATCACTGAGCTGTAGCCTGTTTGGGTCGCTGCGACACACTTGGTGAAAACATATCTCCATACTTCATGTTTTATTTTATATTTGAAAAAGTGTAAATAATCTGATTGTATAAACTCATTTGTTAATTTGTCGTGTGTCGTAAATGGCTCAAATAAAGTGTTTATCTATCTATTTATACTATAATTCAATTATATAATAAATATTGGTGAGTATCGTCTCACCACATCGATACTCGCATTTCTGCTGTGAAGCAGTTTTTTTTTTGTTTTTACAACACAGGGGGCAAACGAGCACGCGGCTCACCTGACGGTAAGTGACTACCGCCGCCCATGATCACCCGCAACACCAACGGCATTGCAGGTGTGCTGCCGGCCTTTTAAAAAGGAATATGCTCTTTTCTTGAAGGTTGTGATGTCGTATCTGTTTATTACTGCTGTTTTAGTTGTGTTTGCATGGCTGTGTTTCGGTTTAAAGGATGGGATATGGCAGTGAAGTTACAGGGTACGGGGGAAAGGAGTTGTTAGTAATGCGGACTATCAGTCCCACGGGAGACTTTGTACAAAAGTCGATTGCTTGGGTACCTCTGTCCCATTCGTGTTTCTACCGTGAATCAGCTGTGTTTCGGTTTGAAGGGTGAGATATGGCAGTGAGTTTACACGGTACAGAGGAATAACAACTGAGTCCTCAGGAATGGCAACGCATGGGGGGTATCATGGGCGAAACAGTATACTTTGTTATGTACATGGTACTGCTCATGTGTATAGGTGACGGTTACCACTTTCCGTCAGGTGGGCCGTCAGTTTGTTTGCAATTCTAAGTTGTATAAAAAAAATTACCCTCTCTCTTCCTCTGTTTATCGTAACGGTTGACTGATAGAGAATGCCATCAGGCATTAAGTCCGCCCTGTACACATATTTTAATGCGTGCAAAAGTATAAATAAATTAATTAATTAAAACTCCACGGAAAAACACTTCGACCCCTTCGGTGAAACCATAAAAAGAACTAAAAAAAAAGAAGAATACAACATTTGAATTTCGTAACATAATTTTACGCAGCAATTGTTTTGACAAACCAAATTCTTTCAAACTCCGTACAATGGGTCAAATTTTCAAGTAACACAATAAAAAAAAATCAATAAAAATATAGTAAATTTCCAAGTTTCCATTGCCGGCTAAGCTTAATAAAAATAAAAAAAATATATATAAAACATGGCTCTAGTTTTGAGGAAGGCGGTGCAGCCCAAGAACGTGTCCATGCTAAAATGTGCATGGAAACGACCACTAGCGACAACTGTTAACAAGAAAAATACACTGCCACTATGTAAGTGCTTTATATTATTCCCAAATTCGTGTATAATATAGTATATATCATATATGTGTAAGTATATTTGTTATTTATATATATTTATTCGTTTATATATGTAATTTTAGTATGTATGTATATCAATAATTACTAGTACCGCATTCGAGTATTCTGCCACTTCGATACGGTTGACTGGGAGAGAATGCTTTCAGCATTAAGTCCGCCATGTACACATATATGTACTAATGAATAAATACATAAAAATAAATAAGTATCTCACGTAAAATAACCTACAATCGATTTCAAAAAAGTTGTTTATTTTTGCTTATTACCTAATAACTTGTTGTGAACTTATTTGGCGATTTATTTAAAATGGCGTACTTACAGATTGATCTTGAAGAAAATCTTTCTAAATCGACTCCCATAATTTAGTTTTGAAGTGAAAATAACTGATTTTGCTATCATCAAGGTCGGTGTCTTTGTGAAACAATCGTATATAGATACGAAATTAGATTTTTCACACGATTGCTTGGCGGTAGAGACGCGAGTGGGACTGTGGTGCCCATAAAAACAAATTTTGCATAGTCTCCTAAAAATGCTGTGTATTTTTTTTATACGACTTAGAATGGCGAACAAGCTGACGGCCCACCTGATGGAAAGTGGTAACCGTCACCTATAGACATAAGCAGTACTATGGACATAACAGAGTATACTGTTTCGCCCATGATACCCCCCGTGCGTTGCCATTCCTGAGGACTCAGGTGTTATTCCTCTGTACTCAGTAAATTCACACCATATCCCACCCTTCAAACCGAAACACAGCCATGCAAACACAACTATATGAATAAATAAATAAATAAATCCAAAGGGTGGGACCTTCAAATCGAAACACAGCCATACAAACACAGCTGCTTCACGATTGAAACAAGAGAGAAACCGAGGAAACTTTGTTTTATAAATAAGTAAATGTAAATAGGACTCCATTTTCCGCACTAAGCCTATATAAATAAGTATATAAATATTGTATAAAAACCATACTTACTATAATGGCTATAAAATTGGAGTTTTTTTATTGTAAGCGATTTTCAAAATACAGAGCAACTTGTCTGAATTTTTTTGTGACTATGATATATACCTGAGGGAGACTTCGCGTCGCGTGAACTATACTCGTATATGTATGTTATATTTACACTAATATTATAAAGAGGAAAGATTTGTATTTTTGTGTGTATGCACGTTTGTAATGAATAAACTCAAAAACTACTTTGCCGATTTCAAAAATTCTCTCACCATTAGAAAGCTACATTCACCCCGAGTAACATAGGCTATATTTATTGCTAGAAAAGATTAGGGAATCCTTACTAAAACTTTAGTAACGTAACTCGAGGTGTAGAAAAAATGCTATAAAATATCTTTGGTCGCGTGCGCTGCGGAAACTATTGGCGATAGAACAAAAGTATGTTCTACAATATTGAAGGAAATATCAATAACTACAAATAACTTCGCGACACTATATGTCCAACTATTATCGTTATGTCACAATAGCCACTTTTTTAAATGTTGTAAAAATGTCTACCCGTGCGAAGCCGGGACGGGCCGCTAGTATATAATAAAAAAAATATATATATCAATAATAATAATAATAATTTATTTGCCAGAACCATAGATGTTACAGTTTGTTTTTTAATCTTTAGTATGTTTCGCCATGATTTTTTTTAATGAATGATAATGGAATGATAGCTACACTCGCGCTATCGGTATACACTGGCGGAGTACCAGGGACACATGATAGGTGAGGAAGAAAAGGCAGGTCAGTTAGCCCACCGTGATGAATACATTTGGAATTCAGCACGATGGTTCCCAGGGGGACCTCGGGGAGGTCAACCTGTTGTTAGCAATGGGAGTGGTAATGCGCATTACTAACAATCCCTTCCCTCCATGTTCCGCCATGTTTAATAGCATGCAAATGTCTATAGTTAGTATCCATCAAATATACTGAATCCTGTACATTATAATTTTATTATAAAATAGGCTTAAATAAATATTTTTATCATAATTTTTGTCATTCTCTTGTAGTTTTCGAGTACATTTTTTTTATACAACTTAGAATGGTAAACAAGCTGACGGCCCACCTGATGGTAAGTGGTAACCGTCGCCTATAGACATGAGCAGTACCATGGACATAACAGAGTATACTGTTTCGCCCATGATACCCCCATGCGTTGCCATTCCTGAGGACTCGGGTGTTATTCCTCTGTACCCAGTAAATTCACGCCATATCCCACCCTTCAAACCGAAACACAGCCATGCAAACACAGCTGCTTCACGGTTGAAACACGAATGAGACAGAGGTACCCAAGCAATCGACTTTTGTACAAAGTCTCCCACTCATTTCAACAATAATCAGTTTTTACTGGTAACATGATAATTTTAACATAATACGCTTTGATTATGTTTTTACAAAATCTAACAATTTTAATACTAAAATAATTAGCACTAGTGATTTCGTTGCTGTGTGGTCCCGGCCTAGGATAAACCACCATTTTCTTGCCCGTGGTTACTAAATGGACTAGAGATGGGCAAAACATATTAAAACATGACCAAAGTCTAAATACGGTTTTTTTATGGATGATAATGGAATGGTAACCCCACCTGCGCTATCGGTATACACCGGCGGGGCACCAGTGAAAGATGATAGGTGAGGATGAAGCAGGCCAGTTGGCCCATAGTGACGAATTCAACAAGAATTGTTCATGGTTTCCAGGGGGAACCACGCGGAGGTTGACCTGATAGGGCATATTGCTAGCAATGGGGCTGTCATACTCCATTGCTAACAACCCTTCCCCCCTCTAAATACGGTTGCCAACATATCTCTGACTGTAATCAGTAACGAATCGATACGTCCAGTCGATTGGTCGACGTTTGATTCCTACTACTGTTGGACAACGGCGGACTGGACAATGGGCAGAGCGAGTATTTTTTAATTAACTCTGTTTGTGTAGGGACTTATTGTAAACTAGCTGTTCCCCGCGACTTCGTCCGCGTTTCTGTCGTTTTTTGTAAAATAGGTAGCCTATGTCCTTCCTCACGGTTCAGTGGTTTTGATGTAACAGACACATTTCCCTTCACTGCTCTGCTTCTATTGATCGTAGCGTGATGAAAAGTATACTATAACCTGCCCACGAGTATGAAGAATAATAGTACCAAATTTCGTTAAAATCCGTCGAGTAGTTTTTGTTTCTATAACGAACATACAAACAGACAAAAATTTCACTGATTGCATTCTTGGCATCAATATCAATCACTTATCACCGCCTGATGGTTATTTTAGAAATATATTTATATACAGATTTTTTTTTATACAACTTAGAATGGCAAACAAGCTGACGGCTCACCTGATTGAAAATGGTAACCGTCGCCTATAGACATGAGCAGTACCGTGGACATAACAGAATATACTGTTTCGCCCATGATATCCCCCATGCGTTGCCATTCCTAAGGACTCGGGTGTTATTCCTCTGTACCGTGTAAATTCACGCCATATCCCACCCTTCAAACGGAAACACAGCTATGCAAACACAACTGTTTCACGGTTGAAACACGAATGGGACAGAGGTGGCCAAGCAAACGACTTTTGTACAAAGTCTCCCTCTGGTTGACCTCTCTACAGATTTATTATAAGTATACTTGTAGATAGATAGATAAGTCAATATTGTTTAATTAGTCATATGTATAACGCACTAAATTAGGTATATGTTTCAAATATTCGTAATATTAGTTGATAGAAAAAAAGAAATTTTTTTTTACAACACAGCGGGCAAACGAGCACGCGGCTCACCTGATGGTAAGTGACGCCCATGATCACCCGCAACACCAGCGGCATTGCAGGTGTGTAGCCGGCCTTTTAAAAAGGAATATGCTCTTTTCTTGAAGGTTACGATGTCGTATCGGTTCGGAAATACCGCTGCTGGAAGTTGATTCCAAAGAGTGGTTGCATTCAAGTAACCTTAGATTTAAACATTTCTGAATAGTCATGTTTTTTATTATTTATTCGGAACGCAATGTCGGCTAAGAAGAACGGACGAGAAACTCGGCTGTTGCTTTTTTTTTTTTTTTTTATACCACGATGGTGGCAAATAAGCCCCGTCAAATACAAACACACACAAAGCACGCGTGTTATTTTGGAGAACGGTGGTCGCCGCCGACTGACATCCACGCTTTAATACTCGGCGAGCGAACCGACTTCGTTCTTCTCAATAGCATTCGTCAGCTGACTCCTTGCCGAGTATAAAGCTTGGATGTCCTTTTCAGCACCAGTCCACGGCGGGGCCTCGTCTCTTGGCCCTTGGGCGCGCACCACCCTTCTCAGTTGCGGGGACCAGCGCGGCTCGCTGCGCTACTTCGCTGAGAAAAAGGAGGACGACAAAAAAGATGATTGTCCCACTTGTGAAAAGCCTTGTGGACCATGTGGCCCCTGCGGACCGTGTGGCCCCTGCGGACCGTGCGGCCCCTACGGCCCCTGTGGCCCATGCCGGTGCCCGTACCCCTGCGGACCATGTGGCCCCTGTGGACCTTGCGGACCGTGTGGACCGTGTGGTCCCTGCGGTCCATGTGGCCCCTGTGGACCATGTGGACCGTGTGGCCCCTGCCCGGCCGGACCCTGCGGCCCGTGTGGACCCTGCTGCCCGTCTCCATGTCCCTGCCCGTGCCCCTGCCCGAAACCGAAGAAATGTGAATGCGGCACGTGTCCCATGTGCAAAGAATATCCGATGGCAATGGCCCCGAGACCGGAGGAGTGCAAAAAAGACGATAAGAAGATGCCTTCTCGTATCACAACCGCAGGCGCCGTGAAAGTAACCCCATGACATTTCCCTGAACATGTTTCTTTCGGTTAAAAATTTCTTGCTCTTTTATTATAATATTTTTATTTCTATACACATTTTTATAATTGTATTTCAATGCGCTATTCAATAAATTTGTATCCCTAACATTGGTTTTTATTCAGACACTTAGATGTCTTTGAATCTGAAAGTTACGTGAATTTTAATCGAGGTCAATAGCGTAACATACCTTTGCAGCAAAGGCAGCGCTGAACCGTGCGAGAGACGAGCCCCAAACGCTGCTCCTCCGGTACGCGAAGATTGGGAAGTCACGCCAGCTGTCACCACTAAACCGCTCCGGGCTGTGCAAGACTCCATCTTTACGGTTCTGCATCTCGTGTCCGAACCTCGTACCAGAGACAAGATCAAGACTCCATCTACCTCTAAGACATCTCAGCCCCCCCAGAACTAAGCCAGTTTTCTCCGATACCAGCTACCCTAAGAAATACACGCAGTCGCCCTTTCCCCTTGTAACTGGTCTACTGCAGTCGAACCTCCCTCAAGTTCTGTCGAAGAGGGCTTACTCCAAGCCTAACGTTTGCGGTTGCCCCAGTCCATTTCCTTGCGGACCATGTGGTGGACCTAGCGGCTGTGGCTGCCTTCCTCCACCATGCAATACCCCACCCCGCTGTATTCAATACATGACAGGTTATTACTACTACCCGTATGGTTTTTGGTTTTGCGGTCCATATCATGTTGCGGGCAACTGTTGTCCTGTAGGGCCTTGTAGATCGTGCGGACCATGCGGGCCTTGTGGACCCTGTGGGCCATGCAGGCCTTGTGGATCTTGTGGGCCTAGCGGGCCTTGTGGGCTCTGTGGGCCATGTGGGCCCTGTGGGCCGTGTGGCCCATGTAAACCTTGTGGGCCATGTGGATCATGTGGGCCATGTGGAAAATGCGGGCCGTATTGCGTTTGCCCGGCAACAGCAGCCGTCATGGGAGCTCAAGCTTCTAAAGATCAACCTAGATCCGGTATAGTTCCCCCCAACCAGATCAATTGTCCTCTCCCCCAAGATAGTTCTAAACAAGGCCGTGCTGGTATTTCCAAATATTTCCCCTTTAATTCGGCCATGTCCCCGGGCCCAGTCGGCAAGAGCAATGAACCAAAGAAGCCTAGTACTCCAACTATGTCCTCACTTTTTTGTCCATATAGTACGAAAGCTCAATTGAAATATGAACCTGATATATTTTATAGCCCTTTAGAAGCGTTTTACACGAAACCTTCGTCTTCTAATCCTGTTCCATGTCTAAAACATACTCAAAACCCCGCCAAAAGTCATTCTTCGCCTACTGCTAAAATATCTCCTACTTTCACAAAATATTCAGATCACAAATTAAACGGCAGTAGGAGCCCAATTTGTCATAAAAGATCAACGAGATATATCTATGAGCATTGCCCACCACTGACACAGCCTAGAGGAATCAAGACTAAGCCACAAAGGGATAACCCACAGATGAAGTCTGGAACATTTGACTACAGTTCTGTGCCACGTTATAGAAATCCCCAACCGACGGAAGACGCAAAATTTAAATGACATTTATCTTATAGCCTATTTAACATTATAAGGCTTGTTCAAAATGGAAACGAAACTTGGAAATATAAATTACAAAAGTCAAATTGTAATAGATTTTTAGATACAGTACGATTATCTTGTAAAAACTAAGCACTTTGAATCATAATCAAATAAACAATAATCCGTTGATCTTATTTTATTTACCTTTACCACTCCCTCTTAAAATTCTTTAGGATTGTGATCACAGTACCGCTCGTCGTTTCAGCAAATGCCACCAAGAAGATGGGCTTACGAGAGCATCTAAACAAAGCATTTCTTGACATACCGCTGTTGAAAGTGAAGAAGCGCACGCCAAAAACTGAGGAGACACCGCCAAAGACAAATCGGCTATATAAAAGCATGTCTTGCCCGTGCTTCTTGTATCATCAACACGACGTATCCCAAACTAGCGAAGAAAAAATGTTTTACGAATTGCCTCGGACGCAGTCTGCCATCTTCCCCAATCGGAATTGTTCTCATCACAGACATACACCGTTCGCAGTCAAGCAGTGCTGTTACCCCATTAAGAGTACTGCGTTCGTTCCATCTATAGACGCATCGAAACCTCCAGAAGGAAAACAGAGCACTGCCGATATTCTCAAAGAACTTTGCAGTATATGCGGCTGTCCATTCCCATGTAGATGCTACCTGCCTGCTCCGTGTAATACTCCAGCACGTTGCATCCAGTATATGACTGGTTATTACTCTTATCCTTACGGTTTCTGGTTCTGTGGACCTTATCATGTACAAACTGGACCTAGTAGTTGTGGAGGCCCCGTCACTCCTGGTGGGCCGTGCAGACCAAACCCGAAGAAACAAAATGGCCCTTGTGGACCATGCGGTGTTGGGCCATGTGTGTGCGGCCCATGTGAGTCATGCGGACTTTGTGGATGTGGACCGTGTGGACCATGCAGACCTTGTGAATGTAGGCCATGTAGGCCATGTGGGCCATGTGGGCCATGTGGACCATGTGGATATGGGCCCTACGGGCCTTGTGGATCTTGTAGTCCTTGCGGCCCATGTGGGCTTTGTGGTCCTTGCGGCTCATGCGGACCTTATGGTCCTTGCGAATCATGTGGTCCCTGCGGCCCATGTGGACTCTACAGCCCATCTTGTCCTTGTGGCCCATACGATTCTTGCTACAGACAGCCCTGTTTGTAGTCCGTCCCTCCGGCCCTGCTACAATTGCCCATGCCCTCCCTTCCCCATGTACAGCTCTGTAAAACCAAGCGGCCCCTGCATACAGTCGGGTCCATTAGGACCGGTAAGCTCCTGTTCCAAATGCTACGTTGTCCCCCCACTTTCCTTCAAAGATGCAAACCCGACCTGCTTCTGTACGAATTGTCGAGCCGCAAGAGCAGCTAACTCAAAAGACCAAACTAGTAGCGCCTATTCTAAAATCCACACCTCTAGATTCACACCAGCAGCTCCAGCGTTCACAAACGAGGTCAATTCAAATTTAGTCCAAACAAATCCATTTAACAAACCGAAACCGAATCTCCAAAGGCGTTTCTGTCCACCAATGGACACGATCCTGGCTTGCTACTATTCGACTATGGCCAATTTGAATTTTGACGCCAAATAATCAAGCGACGAGACTAAATCTTCAACCCGAATTCACGATTCGAGCAATGTGCATAAACTGAACCCATTGTTTATGCCTCGTAAGTCTCTGAAAGAAATTGCGGAATGCAATAAAGAAATTTGCAAGTTCAAACTGACTAATAATGAAAGAGGTAAAGACGTAGCAATGATTTCTGTAAACGGGCTATATCTGATTACTCTGAATTACCCCAGACATTTACCGAAGCCCTGTTCGGAGATTATGAGAAAGGTATATGTTTCCTACAAGAAGTATCGACCGCGATCGGCATAATCAAATATAATAATCGACAAATTGTGATTAAAAATGTGTGAAATCTAACTATCAGCAACTAAGCATATTAAAGGGAAGGTAAATAACATTATTTCGAAGTATTATTTCAGATTTTTTTCCACAGCTTCGACCGTCTAAATCTGTCTTTGAGATGATAATGGAATGGTAACCCCACCCACGCTAACGATATACGCCAGTGGAGCACCAGTGAGAAATAAATAAGATAAAGATATATTTATTTAACAAAGTATGTTTGTATTTGCACTGAATTTATAATTGCTTCCTACACTAGGCCAAGCCTGTCCTGTAGGAAGCAGTACTCGCGTTATCATATACATGCATATAGATATTAAACATAGGCTTTTTAGCAGTACTGACAATTGTGTAACTAATTTGTATAATGCAATTATTTCATTTAGATCTCGCCACCAATACACATGTATAAATAAGTATTATGAATATGTGTGTGTGTGCATGCGTATGTGTGGTGTGTGTCTGTGTGTGTTTTTTTGTGTGTGTGTCTCTCTCTGTGTGTGTGTCTCAGTCTCTCTCTCTCTCTCTCTCTCTCTCTCTCTCTCTCTCTCTCTCTCTCTCTGTGTGTGTGTGTGTGTGTGTGTGTGTGTGTGTGTGTGTTTTTGTATGTATGTGAACAGTATTTCCATTTATATGATTAATGATTAGAAATAATAGCTAATGATGGAAAAATAGGGTCAATTAACCTATCGTGATGAATATACCTTGAATTCGGCACGATAAATTCACCATGTGGAGGTCGACCTGGTTAGGTTTATTGCTAGCAATAGTTTTCTTTACTAAGAATGCCTTCCCCGCCAATGTCCTATGGTACGCATGTACCTAATTTCCTTAACAAATCTCAATTTCATATAGTTTTTGCTTAAACAAATTTTCGTTTATAGTACCTGATTGTAGGGTTCTGATTCTCTTTGGATTACGCTTCCATCTTGTCTGATATCAATACATTTATTTTTTATGCAGCTTAGAATAGCAAAATGACGACCTACCTGCTGGAAAACGGTAACCGTCGCCTGTAGACATGAGTAGTACCATGAACATAACAGAGTATAAAGTACTTCGCCCATGATACATATAGCCATTTTCCTGAGGACTGAAAGAATTTTTTTTAATGGTTGATAATGGAATGGTTACCCCACTATACTAACGATATAAACTGGCGAGGCACCAGTGAAGGATGATAAGGTGAGGATGAAGCAGGTCAGTTAGCCCATCGTGACTAACAATAAATCGATTACAATATTTTCCAGGGGAAACCGCGTGGAAGTCTACCTAATAGGGTACATTGCTAGCAATGAGATTGTTAATTCAAGTTACTACCAATCCTCTCTTCCTCCAAACTGAAGGTTTTTTTTTTATACAACTTAGAATGGCAAACAAGCTGACGGCCCACCTGATGAAAAGTGGTAACCGTCGCCTATAGACATGAGCAGTACCATGGACATAACAGAGTATACTGTTTCATCCATGATACCCCCCATGCGTTGCCATTCCTGAGGACTCAGATGTTATTCCTCTGTACCGTGTAAATTCACGCCATATCCCACCCTTCAAACCGAAACACAGCCATGCAAACACAACTGCTTCACGGTAGAAACACGCATGAGACAGAGGTGGCCAAGCAAACGACTTTTGTACAAAGTCTCCTACTGGTAATTATCTGGTGTTATGCTTTTACTGTGTAATTTCATTATTGTAAGCGATGCACCTCGCACCTCGTAAAATGTTATAATTGTAACCACTAGCGCCATCTGTTAGTATTTGATTGAATTAATGCCGGCGCGCATGCGCCGAACGAATGCCCTGTGACACGTGTGTGCACGAGTTGTTAGTTGTTGTTAGTTGTTTTGTGAATTGAATAAAAAAGAGTGTCTTGCCAGTGTCCGTTTCATTTTGATAAACACCAAAAACATTTTCCAACAACGGTCTGTTACAATTATCATATTCAAACCGAAACACAGCATTGCTAGAAACACTGGTATAGAGGTTAGAATTAGCAGAGAACTTTAAATTTACTGTTCTAATCTTAAACATTTTGTGCTCGCATATGCACTGAAGAGGATATTGTAATTCTAATACAATGTCTTGTTTGGGGGAAGGGGATTGTTAGTAATGGGATCTAACAGTTCCATTGCCTGCAATGTACCCTATCACAGGTCGATCTCCACGCGGTTCCCTTTGGAAACCATCGTGGTTAATTCTCACGGAATTTTTTACAATAGGCTAACTGATCTGCTTTCATCCTCATCTATCTCACTGGTACCCCGCCAGCGTATACTGATAACGCAGGCGGGGTTACCATTCCATTTTCACTCATTAAAAAAACGTCTTGTTTATAATGGATCAAAACTTTTGGCGTTCCATTGTATCTGCCTATCATAATGAGAGACAGGCTTGACAGATATATAAATCGAAGCACCTGATTAGAACTCGTTATTCTCAGATGCCTATCTGACTGTTTTTGTAGATACAAGATGCCTGTTTTGTCTATAATTTACATTAAAAATATTCAGCTTATTTATTTCTACTATCTATGGCATATGACATCTTCTTGAGTGAGGTTGGCACAAAGATTCCTTCTTCTTACGGTTGGCACTAAATTGACAACTACGAGTGACAATTAGGAGAAATAAAACAACAACAAATGTAAACAACGATTAAAAGTGTATAAAATCTTTATTTAAATACAAATTAGTAAATATATTTTATTACATAGACTTTAGACTTGTAAAATAAATTATTTCCACGTTAATGTACAACTTCGGAACAATTGTACCTACAATTGCCACTGTTTACATTTACAATTAAGCATTAATAATACGTTAAAATAATCGTAACATAAACAATTTGTTCTCCATTTTTCAAATGCTTGCCGTCTTATTTTTAAACCGTATGAATACTAGGCAAAGGAATGCCCCTAAAGTGCCTGTTACGAGAAGAAAAAAGAAAAAATCTAATACAGAGATTTGTAGAACATGTTTGAGTACTGATGGCTTGGTGTCTCTTTTCTACAGTAAGGAAACAGAACAGAAAAGAACGGAGGATTTGAAAATGCTTACCGGATTAGAGGTAAAAACTTGATATTAAATCCGTTCACATAGTTTGTCTTATTACAAAATAATTATGTTACTACTTTTTTCCCGCGGTTTTACACCTGTCCATGAATATATAAAGTGACCTATATGTTAAGTTAGGATATAATCTATTCGTGTACGAAATTTAAATTGGTTCAGGCGTTTAATATATATATAGTAGGGGGAAAAGGATTGTTAGTAATGGAGACTAAGAATCCCATTGCTAGCAATATACCTAACCAGGTCGACCTCCTCGCGGTTCCCTCTGGAAACTATCATTGTAAATTCCTAATGAATTTATCATGATGTGCTAACTGGCCTGTTTTCATTCTCATCTATCACCCTTCACTGGTGCTCCGCCAGCGTATCCCATTAGCGCTGGCTGGGTTACAATACCATTTTCACCCATCAAAAAAAAATTATCATTGACTTGTTATTTTGTTGTATATTTATGATTATATAATTTTTTTACTTATATAATTTAAAAAAATATCATATTTTATACAATCTTTCATCATGTGTACAGCCAAGGCGGGGAACTCTCTCCCTTTTTATGTTTTTTCAACTAAATATAACTTGCACAAATTTAAGGAAAATGTGAATAGGCTATTCGTGGGCCTGAGAGCTCCATCTTAGGCCACATTTATCACTTCCCATTATGTGAGATTGTAATCAGTCACAGAACCCTTTCAATAGTAGAAAAAAATGTTATAGATAGATAGATACACTTTATTGTTTCCTCCAAAAGATTACAATAGTAAACTTATTATAAATATAAACAATTACAAGAAATAATCACAATGAGAAAACAATGGGCGAACTTATCGCTAAGAGCGATCTCTTGCAGGCAACCTTTGGATTGAGAGGAGTAATTATAAACAATTTGCTGGGAGGCACGATGAAAAATTTTGTCAGTTCTAAATATGGGAGATGTGATACATGTAATAATATAAATATTATCCCTACTCATTATATATATATATATATACACATATACACCTACACACACATATACATACATACACATACATACATATACACATATACATACATGCATATAAACGCCTACACAAATACATAAAAATATATAAATACTGTTCACGAAAAATATGCAAGAAATAAGTATGCTAACCAGACATATAAACATATTAAGAAGATGACAACTTGCTCAAATAAAAGTTCTTAAGTTTTGTTTTAAAACCAGCCATACATTTTATATGTTATATTACTATGAAATAAATTTAATTGTATGTCTATAATATTTTCAGATAAAAATGAATGATGGTCTCCCACAAAAAATATGTACAAAATGTATTGAAATTATGAATTCAGCATTGGAATTCAGGTTCAAGAGTGTAAATGCAGAGAAAAGGCTGCTCGGCATGCTGTCAAAGAAGAAAGCCCGGAAGATTGGTGGAGCCCCCCCAGTTAGCAACCAAAGCGTGGGCTTTGACTATGGGCTTTATCAACATGAAATTCATAATGATCATGACTATATAAAAGTTAAACATGATGAGCTCATGCAGAAGTTTAAAAAGGTATGCTCTAGACCAGTGGTTCTCAACCTTCTTTTGTTGCGGCACATATTTAACGATTTCAAAATTTGGCGGCACACAAAGGAAAAGTTAAAAATTATTTACTTACTACAACACACTGCATAAATAGTTTATGACAAAAATTTTAAATACTTGCAAAATTTGGCAGCACACAAAAGTGCCGCGGCACAGTGGTTGAGAATCACTGCTCTAGATAGACTGTCATATCTGTCTGTTTACTGTACGGATAATCTGGTAGTATTGTTTTATCGTTACCCTATCCCCTTTGGCCGCAACAGAATATCAGTGCTTTGCTCTTTTGAGGGCGAAGCAGTAAACTGAGTTGTGGCCATTTTGTAATAAAAAATTGTATTTAGCTTTACATATGTATTTTTTTTTTATCATTTATGTTATCTCGCTTTTTATGTATTATCTATTTTTTTTTATACAACTTAAATGGCAAACAAGCTGACGGCCCACCTGATAGAAAGTGGTAACCGTCGCCTATAGACATGAGCAGTACCGTGCACATAACAGAGTATACTGTTTCGCCCATGATACCCCCCATGCGTTGCCATTCCTGAGGACTCAGGTGTTATTCCTCTGTACCCAGTAAATTCACGCCATATCCCACCCTTCAAACCGAAACACAGCCATGCAAACACAACTGCTTCACGGTTGAAACACGAATGGGACAGAGGTACCCAAGCAATTGACTTTTGTACAGTCTCCCTCTGGTATATGTTTTAATTTGTGTGCTTGAAGTAATGCAAATACCCTATTACCTATCTATCTATTTATCTAAACATATGTAATACTAGCTGATCCGGCAAACCATGGCCAACCTCAACCTCAATGTGTTAATTACATCTTGAATTAAACGTGTTACTTATTTCCAGAAATCCATACAAAGAAACCCAACTATAATAACCGAGAATGGTACATACAAGTGCCATATGTGTGAGAAGGAATACAAGAATAAACATACACTGCGCGCGCACATCAACTTCCATACAAACTATTGTGTTTGTGAGGTAACGTCCACAGCTGGACATAAGCCTCCCCATAGACTACCATAAGGAACGGTCCTGAGCCACCTGCATCCACTGACTCCCTGCAATGCATTTGAAGTCGTCACATCATCACCAACCGTTAACTGTCCACTGCTGGACATAAGTCTTCTCCATAAAATGTGAATTCCCAGTAATTGCCACTTGACAACATTAGTTAGGCTTGGGAGATGTTTTAAAAGGGACGCTGCTGCCCATCCCTCGTCTTCCCCTAATCATCTCTTACGACACCCACGGGAAAGGAAGGGGTGGCCTATTTTTTTGATGGGTGAAAATGGTATGGTAACCCCGTCTGCGCTAACGGGATACGCTGGCGGAGCACCAGTGAAGGGTGATAGATGAGAATGAAAACAGGCCAGTTAGCACATCATGATGAACTCATCAGGAATTAACCATGATAGTTTCCAGGGGGAACTGCGAGGAGGTCGACCTGGTTGGGTATATTGCTAACAATGGGATTCTCAGTCTCCATTACTAACAATCCCTTTCCCCCCAGGGGTGGTCTATTAGGA